AATTAAAACGTAAAGGAAAGAAGATAAAAGAAAATACAAGGGCGGTTAAGTCTCGACACTCGGATATGTTCTCGCTCAACAAACAGATCGTATTTAGACATAAGAACAATGGCCAGACAACCTGAATTAAATGAGAGGATAGAATGCGAGTGACGAGAGTTAGTGCTTAGTTCCGTGGTGCGATTTCAAAGTTTATTATTGTATCTCGGACTACGCTAGGATCAGGTACTCAATGAGTCTGCACCGAGAAGCAAAACTAATGTAGTCGTTGTGATTAGCGATTTCGGAATACGCACGGTGAGGTTGTGGCACTGCAGTGAACCATGGCAGGAGTGAGTGTGGGACTTAAAGGTGTACGGGACTACTTTGGTGCTCGGTGGGAGTTGCAGTGTGAGGTTACTGGTGGATCGGGAGTTGGATTAGACTCAGTCGGACCCATGTTTGATTATTGCAGTGTCAATCGGTGTGACGACCTCTCATGCTTGCTACAAGAGTGTTACCAACCAGATCGGTCGGTGAAGTCTTTGTCAACATCTGATGCATTAGAATTGACGAATAAAGTGGACACTTTTTGCAACATGTCCCCGTTTCGTATTTTATCGGGACAGGAATTTTCATTGTGCTCAAAACAATGTAGTCTTTTCATCGCAGCTATTGTTTTGTTGGTACTTTGTAATCTTCTTCAATAAGGATTGATTTTCGTGACACATAACGACAGACATTGATCGTGTGTGGTTAAATCTACGAATAACTCATTCAGTCACTGGTACTGCCGAAAAACTTTGTGATTGTATTTAATGGGAGAGGATTTGTGCAAAATCTATGCCTTAAGATCTTGAAGTTAGTACTCGGGTATTTTAAGGATAGAGACAATATTGAATAACGCGCACAAAACTCGTGTTTCAAATATTCGTATCCGACCACATTGGCTGCTTGTGGATCAAATCAGGTTCAAGTCTTCGAAATAAAACGTCCGAGGTAAGTTTGATGGTGGACGAATTAAGTCCCGATATAATTGTCGTCACAGAAACTTGGCTCACTGTAAAAATGCACTGTTCTCCCATCATTGCAAGTTACATCTGTATTAGAAATAATAGACTTTTAAGTTGCAGTGGAGGAGGCATAATATTATACGTTAGAGACCACTTCCGTATACAACCAGTCATGTCGGAGGAGCATGTTGGTGGTACATGTGAGGTAGCATGTTGCACAATTAAGTCCGGATACGAGTTAGTGACTATAGGAGGAATATACAGTTGTCCGTGTTGTCTGGCCGATGACTTTATCTTTGAACACATCTGTTCTTGGAGTAAGACGGAATGTTGTTTCATTATTGGAGACTTCAACGCACTGCATATCAACGGGATAGAGCTTACAGCTCCGGGTGAAGTTTTCGATAGCTAGCTTCTATCAACCATTATTCAGTGTGCACTTGCACAATGCATCGCAAAACCGACACATATTGATTTGGAACATGACCTGTCATTGCTGGACCTTGTCCTCACACACCATTGTGAGGAAGTCATCGACATTCAGCATCCTCCCCTACTAGTGAATAGTGGTCACGTTGTACTGTACTTCAAGTTTGGAGCACGTGGTATACAGTTTGTATCTGCTCCACCCTGTTCTAATATCTGGCGAGCCAATATTCCGGCAGTCAGGGACTGTACTATGTCGACCGACTGGTGGGTCGACGTGGATGGATCGATCGAGGACGAATGGGATAGATTTAAGGACACAATCGAGTCCGTAACACCACCGTTTATCCCATGATTATCATGTAAGCTATTACACTGCACACGATGGATTTGTAGTGGCATCACTCACGTATTTAAATATTGTTTTGATAACCATTCATGTGTATTAGTAGTATTACTAAATTCTATCACGGTCAAGTAAAAATGAGGTTGAGAAAATCTCCCCGTAACTAAATAAACCGTATCAAACTAACTGGAACAGTAGTTGGAATTCTTTTCCATGGTAATACTTTTGTTCTTCCAGTTAGCCTACTAATACAGATGCAATTGGAAATCACATATGGACGGGTTACCGGCATAATTGTTAATTGGTTTCATAAATTAAACCAAAACTAATACCAATATTAACATTTCTACAATATTCATTACTTTAATATTTCTAAACACAAAAAACTTACTACCTAAACGTCAAGTTATTAACCAACGGCTATTAACACGCATTGTTTTATTATTATTACTATAATCCCATTTTTTCTAGCTCGAATAATCTTCACCCAAATTGTCATTTTAAGTGTGTTAAGCATGAAGGCAGATATTTTAAAATTATTACATGTATTTCCCGACCAGATGCTGCCGCCTTTTTGATTTATCTTTCAGCCTATCATTACCCGGGGATTCTTCCTAGTCTTGGTAACCTTCGGCGCATGACGATCCCATCCAATTCGGTATCGAACCAACATCACGTTGATTCTGGTGGGAGAGTAGTGTAGTGGCATTGGACAATAACCGCACAATCCACAAAGCTGAACACGAGACTACTCAGGAAATAGATATTCAATATTTAACGCGGATAAAATACCTAACAATGGAGAAGGCGCGAAGAATGAATTGAATGGACTGAGTTGATCGAGTGGCATGGCTCAGCCATGCAGGCGTGGTCCCTGCTGGATGTTATCTTATATCTCCTATTCATATTAAATATATTGTTCTTTCTCTAGCTTAACCTTGTTCTACATCATGTATTGGCAGTTGATACGATACAGTGAGTTGGTGTAGTCGATGGTGTGACTTCCACGTAAGATCTTATAGATTAGGCAGTTATATCATGACAAATCTACAATTTTAGGATTAGGTCTATTATTAGAGCAGTACTAATATCATAGTAGACCATAATTCTACAGATTAATAAGGAAACACGGAAGCTGTTGAAGCGAAGGAAACACTTCTGGAACTTATTCTTGTCAACAGGACACGCAGCACTTAAGTGCGAATATCGAAAAATCCGGAATATATGCAAAAAGACCATAGCTAAATCTTGTACTACTTAGGAAAGACAGTTGGCATATCGTAGCCGTACTTGCTCGAAACGATTGTTTTCGTATGTTTAACGGCGAACAAATTGTAGTGATGGTATCCCCCCATTACTGTTGCACGAAAGTTCAGATTTACTAGTTTGATCAGGTCAGGCAAAAGCTGAGACTTACTCCAACTACTTTAGTGAAGTCTACACTACGTGTATTTCTTCAAATACTAGTCACAATCACACCGAGATACCAGCAATTGGATCTGAACGTATAATTGAGGAAACTGTCCTTCCATTTATAACTAACCTCAAACCTTGTAAGATACCGGGCCCTAACGGGTTACATTTATGACTGCTGTCATCTCTTGCGGACATTATTTCAATCCGCTCGCGACGCTCTTCAACATGTCCCTTTCACTCGCCCAACTCCCTAGAGATTGGAAAGACCCTATAGTCGGTCCTATATTTAAGGATGGTCAGAGGCGAATCGTATCTAACTACCGGCCTGTCAGTCTAACTAGCATAGTTGTTAATTTACTTGAAAAGATGATTCGGGTTAAGTTTTCGGTCACTAAATTTCACACAGTCTCTTAACTCCCGAGCAACATGGGTTTCGTAACAAGCGTTCATTCTAGGCTTACTTACTCATTGCGAGAGAGGATCGGACAGCAGCCCTAGATAACGGTCTGTTTGTCAATGTGATGTTCATAGATTATAGCAAAGCATTTGACAAGGTTTCACACATATCTTATGCTGCTCTCTAGCTTCGGAACGGATAGGAAACTTCTTATGTGGATGCAGACAGAGTGAGCGTCAGTAGAACTCTGCCCGAATGGAAGCCGGTCAAAAGTGGTGTACCTCAAAGCATCATCTTAGTCCCTTTACTTTTCCGTCTCCACATTAATGAATTACTGCTGTTGCTTAAGTCGTCGACATTATTGTTTGCGGATGGCGTAAAACTATGAAGAACAATAGAAAGTGAGGCTGACCATTTGGATCTCCAAGCTGACTTAGATGAATTAGTTGGATGGGCTAGAGGTTGGCGCTTAGAAGTTTATTCTAAGAAAACAGTGTCCATGCACATCGGACATAGTAATATTTACCATTATACAATTGATGGTACAGCACTTTCACGCGTTCAAGAACATAAAGACTTAAGTGTAATAATAAGTCATGACTTGAGAACAACTACGCATTGCAACGCAACATCTGTCGAACGTTTTCATGCGTTATGGTCATTTCGCCGAGCATTCAAATGCTTCGACGAGGAAATATTTCGAATTTTATATCCCACCTATGTAAGACCACACTTAGAGTACTGTACTCAAGCAGTTAGCTCGTGTCTGTTAAAGGATACTAACTCACTTGAGCGTGTTAATTGCATGGAAACGAAATGAGTGAAGAGTCTTTCTAAACTCCCTTACGATGATCTTTTAATACGTCCAAACCTTTTCTCCTTGTTAAATCGTCGGACGCGAGGTGACCTTATACTGGCATTTCGTATCTTTAATTATGATTTGGATGTTTATATGTCTTACCTTTTTGCTCCCTCCAACACTAAAAATCTTCGAGGTCATAGCGAAAAGGTTCACAGACCGCGATCTAATAAACTTAGAGTGAGGTCCCGTTTTTCCATCGAGTAATCAATGACTGAAACGCCTTGCCCGAACAAGTGACATCAGCCCATCAGTGGCTATTTTCAAGGAGAAGCTGAACATTTACTGGAAAGCAATCTATCAGGATTAACACAGGTAGCCAAAATACTATCCTTATTACTGAGGACTAAAGACTAACATTTTACGATGCTTAGTGTAACTCGCGAAATAGCATCAGTCCATCCGTTTCATCATGAACAGTGCGCACAAATAATATGAATCCGAACTACACTTCAGATAGGCGTAGAACATGGATATGCACACATAGAGTAGAAGTAGGACATAGGGCAAGATAAACGTTAACAGTCAACTCAGACCTTGAGAGACTTTTGTTTTATCCGTTCAAAACCTCTGTTGGGCGGTACTCTAGAACCTGCATCAAAATGTCCAGAACCACTCACAAGATCTACGTTGGGAATCTGCCTCCAGATACCAAAACTCGAGATATCGAGAATCTATTTTCAAAGTATGGTCCGATTGCAGCAATCGATCTGAAAGCTGGACAAAGACGTGGTCCACCGTTCGCATTCGTTGAGTTCGAAGACGAGCTGTAAGTTGTGTTTATATGACGTGGACTTTCCAAGTGATGCGTCGGATGCCGTTCGTGGGCGTGATGGATACAACTTTGATGGGTACGCCTTGCGAGTCGAGTTACCACGCACTGGAGGTTTCAACAATGGGAATGGCGGTCCTAACCCTAACCAGTTTCGGCGAGGAGGCTTTAATCGCGGGGGAGGTGGGGCTAGTGGCCCTTCAAGGAGGTCAGACTTCCGAGTAATTGTCACGGGTTTGCCACCCACTGGTAGTTGGCAAGATCTCAAGGATCACATGCGTGAAGCTGGGGATGTTGGATATGCCGACGTGTTCCGAGATGGCACCGGTGTAGTTGAATTCCTAAGGTACGAGGACATGAAGTATGCTATCAGACGTCTGGACGACTCCAAGTTTCGTTCTCATGAGGTATGTTTGTCGATTGTGGTGATTCGAATTTCGTAGGGTGAATCCTCGTATATCCGTGTCCGCGAAGAGAGGGCTGGAGGGTCTCGTTCCAGATCTCGATCATATGGCTCACCAAGAAGAGGTCGATCCTACGATTCGTGCTCTAGGTCAATCAGCCCTCGACGATAAGACACTGGACAAGTGTGAAAGTTTGTACGTAATTAAAATTTGATGTCACGGCCATTATTATTCGTTATCACACAAACTCAATACAGTTTTCTTGCTTTTAAAGGTCTTCTGGATAATGGAAAGAGAAAACGACCACATAGGAGGGAACGGCGGAATATTAGTTTTGTGGCCACAGGATGGACTCAGTGCATCTGAAGGGATAGGAATACTAATGTTTACTGTACATGTCAGTGGATTGATGGATGCACTTTACCATGAGTGGTTCTCAGGAGGTCATACTTCTGCTTCTCCAAATGGAAAAGGGAGTAGGTGTGCATTGTGGATCCTAAGTTTGAGTCGAAACCACAAGATAGTGAAATGATCAGTAGGATATAAGTTTCAGGAGTCTTGGATTTCATCTAAGGATGGACTTTGGATTTCTTGGATTTGCTCACGGATGCTTGGGATCGGATAGTGGAATGTAGGTTGCAAACCAAGCTGTCAGGAGCACACTCGTATCATAAGTCCTGTACAGAAACACTCGCACAGCAACGGATGTTAGACCCCCACAACTGTTCTGGAACATTACTCGCCCATTAAATGCTTTGGCGTTCCACCTTTGCAATGGACCCCAAAACAGTCGATAAACGTCCATGAAGGCTATCGTCCAGCACCCATTGGACGTAAATATATAAATCCCGTTTGGTTCTTAAAGCTAGGTAGTCAATTTCAACGCTGAAAAATACTGTTTTCACATCAGGACTCAACATTATTTGCTTTGGTGTCAAATAAATTGTTTAATCTCTTGTGTTGGTATTATGAGGTCCATGTAGTACTGATCGGGAGCTGGTTGTCACAAAGCGAAGTCACTGCCAGATGGTAGGTCTACATATGATATGTTGTGGTGGGATAAAGTTCTACAATTTCAAATTCCAGTAATGCCAACTCGAGAAATTTCTGGCTTGTTAGTCAGGGTCATTAATTCTCAGTACTTCATGGCTATGATGAGTCCCCTCGACAGGAATTCTGTCAACTATCTAGAGAAGCATTTCGGTCGACTTCATTGCTTGGTCTGTCGCAGAAAGGGCTTGTCAGTGAATGTGGGTAGGTGGGGTCCTCAGAGTTGTTACTGACCATTGACCGTGGTATCCAACACTTTGACTTGGTTGTGAGGAGTACGCTTCCACAAGACACTGACGTCTCTGTCTACCGCGCCAGGAGTTTAGTCTCGTAGTTGCTTAGCTGACCGTGAGTTGCCCTCGGTTATAACCACGAAAAATGCATCGAAAAGTGTTGATCTGTGTAGTGTGTAAAACTACTGTTTAGTGCTGACTAATCTAAGGCGCATAAGGGACGAGAATTATAATTGTGTACAAAGATTGACGTGGTGTTGTGTTTTAAGTCTCAGAGGGGGATTTCGAAATCAGGTTGGGAAGTGAAGAATACAATAGTTGGGTATCTTGGTCACGTCATATCACACCAAGCTCAGTTTGTATAGATTCAAGCTCGAACCGATGGGCTATGCAATATACCAGTCGACATTCATTACGCCAGTAAGTTCTTCAACATAGCTGTATGGTGAGACATGGCGTAAACATTAGTTAACTCACCTGCGTTAGACCCACTGAGACTGTCCTTCCGGTGATTATGTGGGCCTCGGAATGCGTTCTTGCGACACAGGTGACCCAATCTTGTCGAGGGGCTAGTTTCGTTTGCGAATAAATTGTGTTTATTGTCTGTCTCACGACCAGTCGTTTTTCTGTATGTCTATCTGTTGGTCTGTTAGGGTTGAGCCCATGATGTTTGTAAGTGGCGAGCATATGATGTCTCTTCAGTGGGAGTTTTCAGTCTTGGCACCCGAAAAATCTCGCTTAACAAATAGATCGTATTTAGACATAAGAACAATGGCCAGACAACCTGAATCAAATGAGAGGATAGAATGCGAGTGACGAGAGTTAGTGCTTAGTTCCGTGGTGCGATTTCAAAGTTTATTATTGTATCTCGGACTACGCTAGGATCAGGTACTCAATGAGTCTGCACCGAGAAGCAAAACTAATGTAGTCGTTGTGATTAGCGATTTCGGAATACGCACGGTGAGGTTGTGGCACTGCAGTGAACCATGGCAGGAGTGAGTGTGGGACTTAAAGGTGTACGGGACTACTTTGGTGCTCGGTGGGAGTTGCAGTGTGAGGTTACTGGTGGATCGGGAGTTGGATTAGACTCAGTCGGACCCATGTTTGATTATTGCAGTGTCAATCGGTGTGACGACCTCTCATGCTTGCTACAAGAGTGTTACCAACCAAATCGGTCGGTGAAGTCTTTGTCAACATCTAGTGCTTTAAGATTGATAAATAAGGTGGTCAATTTACTGGAATCTCTACGCTGCTATGTAAACCGTATTGTTTTCTAATCTTTCCAGCGTTTTGTCCCGCTTTTTCTATTTCCTGTCACTTCTCCAGGTCACGGTTATATTAATTCTCTTCTGACCGTATATTTTCATTAAATTTTATGTCGTTTTGTGCAGATTTCAATTATAGTGTACTTCTTTACTGGATAAAATATAGTTCAGTGTTTCGTCAAACTGGATCTTCTGTTTGTTTGTACTTTGTTCCGTGTGGTCTAGAACCAATTTCTTGTTATTTGTTCACTACAAATTATCGTCCAGTTCTAACACAGAGTGTTATCATTTATTTATATCTTAGGAATGGTTGAAGTTGCGCTTATCTCTTCTGTTAGTTGGAAATGGGTAATGTTAGTGCCAACCTAAATAATGCAGCTTGTTTTTGTTGTCACAGTAAGACTACACCAATTATTTATAATCATTAAGATTTCAACGGGAAGCTATGTATCGCAGAGAGCGATAGCAAGTCATGCCAGTTGACTTTTTAAGTTTTTGTGCTGTCGATTCGTTGGTTCCTCATTTACTTTCAATTCGAAGAAGTGAAGAGTAGCGACCTATACATACTTAAACCAACTTTTGTCTTATTGATGAAACTACTGCTTTGAATCCAGCAAAATATCAATATTGCTCGAGTAAAACTACGACAATCTGTCTGTAAGTAATATTAAGGGCAAAACAACCTCTGAACAGTAGCGTAGAAGTGGAGTATCTTAAAGCCCTCAGGACAGTCGATTAAACCGAAGTCAATTTATTTCTATAAGTGGTGATAATTCTATTTGATTAGCTACTGCTCTTTATAAATTAGTTTATAACTCTTGATAGAGTTTAGTTGGATGATTTAGTCGTGGGGCTACCGTCATTTTGGACGACATCACAAACTCCAGGTACTGATTGTTTTAAAACATAGGATTATGGACACGGTATCCAGTGCTATGGTCTAATTTGTGTTATTGTGACATTTCACTTGTGAACAACGCCTTTTATACGCCGAAAGCAATGTTATGCGCTGCGAGAACATGGAGTTTTTGAAAGCACACTAGTTAACATCTGAGAATGGAAGTGGAGTTGCTTTGTAATATGGCTAGAGTTTAGAAGTTAATAAGAATCTTCATTTTCCCATAAAATATTGTAACGACTGACAAGCATTCGAATATGCACCGCAACTTACACTGGTTATGTAGGTCGTATGCATAAACTATATGATAACGTACCTCAAGAACATATTATATACGTCAAAACTCTGGACGAAAAATAGCGAGACTATGAGGTCACGAAGAACTTCTAGAAATACCACTTAGGGGTTAACCCTTTGCACTCTTAGATCACCTCTGCGATTGTTTCCAGCCAATCATTATTAATATTTAGCGTGCCGGAGTTACTGGAAAGTTCATCAAATTCTGACTCATCAAGGTGTCCGAAAAATGGAACCATGTCAACGAGGTGGTTAAATAGATCTCTCAGCGATATGAATACGCAGATAATATTCCTGTGTGGTGAAAACGCCGATAAAATGCTGAATCTTTTGGTAGCACTGAACAACAACACCAGGCTGTTTGTAATGCGTTTCTACCCTTCTAAATGCAAGTTGTTGTTCCAGGACTGGCCTTCCTCAGCACTTGAACTAAGGATAGGGAATGAAGTAGTTGAAAGCGTCGGTAACTTTACTTACCTCGGAAGTCTGACCAGCCTAAGTGGGTTGGTGTCTGAGGAAATCCCAGCACGGATTCAGAAAGCTCGTTTGGCTTTTGCCAACTTACGTCACCTACGGTGAAGGCGAGATGTCTGTCTATCAATTAAGGGCCGAGGGTATTGCGCAGTAGTTCCTTCTGTCTTTCTTTACGGCTGTTAATTGTGGCCATTAAGAGTAGAAGATACTCGTGAGCTACTATTTGACCATATATGTGAATATTCGTCGACTGAGATGGGCCACGTGTTACGTATGCCTGAAAACCGACTACCATGATGTACAATGCTGACTAGTGTTGGGGACGGTTGGAAGAAAGTTAGGGCCGGTCAAACTAAAACGTGTCATCAGTGCTTGAAGTTACTAACTTCTGGTCTGCACCATGTTGGTAGTTGCAGATTATTTGGTTGGGGCCCGCGCGACTGTCGTTATCACTCGCTGAAGACTCTGGGTAACATGACTCAGGGTTGATCACAATGGCGCAGGTGTATGCATTCCTTGTCTTCCTTTAAACCTCGAGATTAAAATTGCTTTTTATCTTTCTTTCTGTACAATGAAGTAACTACTCTATATTTGTTGTTCATCTTGTGCTAATGAGGTGTGGCAACTTGGACCGATGCATATATGTGCCTGGTCCTATATTTTTGTTGATTAAGACGAAAGTGATAGCTTAACAGCTTTAACAACTACAGTATGTAATAATTGCCCAATATTTTTTTTCAAATAACCATAACTATTAAGTATAAAACAAACTAGTCTATGTTTAAGTAAAGTGTCAAGTATTGGGAAACTTCTAAACCAGTGTAACATAGGTCAGCTGGGTATTAGATAGCTTTGTAAAGCTGCGTCGTTGAGTACTTGCGACAGTATTACATCTGCTTAATGCTAAAACATAAAATTTGTTCCGCGAACCCTTCATATGAGCAATGCTTCGCATAAAAACGCAGAGCAGTCTTACATGTTGGACCGACAATGAGATAAGTTCGTATTTCCCTAGATGCATAAATGGAAGAAAATCAGACGCGCTTGTATGCTGGAACTTTTAGCTTGCTAACGTGTATTAACTGAGTTATAGCTTAATGTTGGACATAGGGCAGAGGCCTGACCTAGCCGATCGAAATCCGAGTAGTTTTACTGATTTTCGATTGGGTAGCCTGGATTTGTTACCAGTTAATGTATAAAAGGCCTATTGCTATGTATATAAACCTGACGTGAGATAACGATTTGGACTTTAAAATACCTAACAAGTGACTTACTCGAACATAGGAAGTCTCTTAAGAGAAACCTTGAAATAAATTTAGGAGACACCTTTACGCAACGAAATCCAAAAGACTGGACCCTTTAGTAATTGCGACATACACTACGGCATAAAGTGATACTTCCCGAAAACGTGCTGTAAGACAGAATACTGTTGTTGCTAAAACCTGCGATAAGACCAAAAACATATTAGGATTACGTCAAATGAACACGGAGTATAGTATTCGAGAATAATCTATACGGGTTTTTCTCTTATTTAGACCACATCAACCATAAATTATTAGGATATAATCTCCGTAGTGGTGTACAGCAGTATAAAACTTGTATTAAGCAACATATCTGAGTGTACTACTCAGAAGACTCAGCGAAGCTTCTAACGAAGTTTTCATGAACCATACCCCAATATTTATGTAATTATGATTGATACTTTCAGCAAAACTATTTAAACTCAATTTAATCTACTCTCGCCGTATCAAAATAAAGGTAACTAGTAAGGCAATGACCTAAAAACTATAAATCATCATGAAAGCACCAGCTGTCTGAGGCTTTTAATCACCTAGTATAGCATCCAAGAGTTCAGATACAGTTGCGCATTTTGTCAAAAAAATACTGACACATTCAGATTTATATTTTGAATACAGACTGGATACGACAAAAAAGGGGCTATAGTGAAAATTTCCTTATATTCTCTATAGCGAGTGACGGACACACCTGAGAATTTCGGGTCAATGCTGAATAAATAGGACACTGTAAAACATAAGACCAACAGTCTGTATTCAAGATATGGTTAATAAAGCTAACTATTTGCGCTTCAAGGTGAATTATTAGTCCTTTAAAAAGCAATGTAAACACAATTAAGAGATACTGCTAACGAGGTATTAAACCCCTAGAACAACAACACATTTTAGGAATAACGAAGGCCATTTGACCTATAACTAGTGACAAAGATTGATATCCCTTCTAACTCCTATTTATTTATCAGATCTGGTGAAAGTCAGACGTTAAGTTATCGAACTTTTTGGCTTGTCTTCAAAGCCATATGAAGTCAATATTTCCTTTTAAGAAACCCGATAAGACAATTTATCTGATCTCCAAGTTATGGTTTCACATATTACGGTAAAAATCACATCGAAAAGCCAGGATGACATTGTTTCTTGGTTTGGTAAAAAGCAGTTTTCAAAATAAGATTTTACTACACAATCTAAGTGCATACAGCAAGCTTTGACACTAATTTCCAACAAATTTGATTTCTAATGATACTTCGAATGTTTGTGACTTCTGTGCTCAGCGTAGTCCGAAAAATAGCGAAAGGCCGCTAAAGAGAACGTGAATTGAAAGAACGGTACAACGGTTGGCCTCTTTGTCATTAACCAACGAAAAGCATATCTCCAATAAAACCGACTAACCGCACGGAACATATCTGCTGGATTTTTGCTCCTACGTGAAAACCATTCACTAAGCTGACCAAGCTGCACATCACCAAACGGAATGTCTTTTTTGCCATAATATCTTCCAGGGAAATAAACACCGTGCACTCGCACATTGTATTCCTTAGGTAGAAGGCCGAAGTCCATCATATGTTCCGTCCACAGATCTAGAGGGCGCCACAGTATTTTCAACAAATCAACTTTTGGGATAAATTAATTTATTGACCCAGTGGGAACAAATTGTAAATCGCTTCAGAAATCTGTATCAATATGTGTGTTCTATATATAAACTGCTTTGTTCAAAACTAACGTTCAAATAACGTTTCGAAAATTTATAGAATTTTGTTTCTTAAGAGAAGATGTCCTTTGTGTGAAATTTTATCTTTAAGAATTCCTCTAAGTCCTCAGGAGAACGAAGAGGATTCTTCAGTACCACTTGAGCTTATTTATATTGCATTTTTACATAGGTGGATAGCTATCACTTGTGGATTTTGCGATGGATTCAGCTTCAACGAGTCCTCTAAATAATTTGGAATATAAAATCACTACATTACACTAGATTTACATTCTTGTCGGTTTGTTGATGAAAGAAGGTTGTCAACCTTTGCCCATTTTTGGGTTTCTGTGGGTGTCAACCTTTCTCTTGAAATATTCAGTTAAAGGTGCGGAAAATACTACTTCGAGTAGTAGGCTCCGAGAGCGGAAAGAACTGTATAACATCCGGATATACATGTTATTGGCTTTGAGTTCGCTCACCTACTACGAGTATTCTGCACCTTCTTTGCCGAGGCTGAAGTCTATTTTTAGGGGAGTTATCTATTGCACAGTCAAGACTAAGGTATACCTTGACCGATTTCACGTATTACTCTTTCCACTTCAGTCGTTGTCAAACCGATCTAC